AAGGTGGAACATATATGAAATGTATACATTTCTTGTGTCTAACCCTATATTTATCCAACATAACAAATGACAAAAGCTTTCAACTTTGATGTAAGATGTTTGTCTAAATAGATAATCATGCAGCATTACCTAACCAATTGATGAAGAAAGAAACAGAGTTCAAGTCCACTGACTTGAACTAACTCCACTAACCCACTAACTCCAAGGTTTTACTTCCTCTCGATAATAACAACAACAACAAAAAAAAAAAATTAAAAAAAAAGCAATCCAATTAGAAGACTCAAGTATGAAAAATGACCATGGTTGGTACTCTAAAACTTAAGTGCATATTTTAATTTAGGCATTCTATAAAAGTATAGAATACTAAGATTCAACAAAATTTATGAAATGTCATTTAATAACTCATTGCTCTTATATTAAAGTGACTATCCAATCACCTTATGTTTCCAAGCTCTATTCTTTTGCAATGATACAGATTTCTTCTGCCACATTGGAACATCCCAGATTTGCAGTGTACATACAATGCATTTAGAACAGAATGTAAAGTCTGCCAAGTTAGCAACCTGCATTTTATACTCTCAACTTTTGCCATAAAGATATACATCACATGCACATTTACTATAATTTATACATAACGCATGCACATCACATGCATATTTTCTCTCTCATGCATCGCTTAACTTGGCCCACACCACACATTCATATAAATATACACATGCATGCATGCATTCAGGGAAACAAAGGCATGAATAATCAGATGTCCCTCTCCTGTTCACTGAATTACAGTAGTGTGCCAAAGAAACTATACCTATTGTGTTCCTTGTTTGGCTGGCTAAGATAAATAAGGATTTATGGGATATCAGGACATGTGTATCATGTCTTCTGGCTAGAATTTTGTCATACTCCCATATTCTTCTCAATTTCTGGGACTATGAAGTGTTAGGTACATGCTGGTGGGAAAAAAGTACCCCAAAGCATGGGCTCTATCATACAGTATCTGGGCTCATATCCTAACCCCACTAGATACCAGCTGAGAGATCAAGTTCTTAAATGTCCTAACCTTTAGCTTCTCCATTAGTAAATGTATTATGATATCAACACACTTAGTGGCTGCAGAGGATATCCCCCTAGATTAGCAATGAGTACTTGCTCATTAATTGATAAGCTTGTCTCAGAAAAGGTCTGGACTTACTGCCAACTGTTACTTTTACAGACTTGCCTGTTTTACAGCTCTATAGACAGGTGTTTGAGAATATAAGAAATTAAAATAGAAATAGAAAAGCTTTTTAGTCCATTTTGCTAATTAATACGTCAGAGCTCATAAAGAAGAACTCATCGGCTTTCTTCAGTACTGCATCATCGTAAAGAGCTGGGTCAGCAAAGATCTCTGCAGACAGTCAATATATATTAAAACAGCTCCAAGCAGTAAATCAAAACAAAAAAAAATGAAGACACAGTAAAAAAGTAAAATTTATAAGTCCTTTCTGGCTGAATGCTGAGGAGCATGAAACTATTGGTTTAGGTGTCAATTCAGTATGAAGGAAGGAAGGAAGGAAGGAAGGAAGGAAGGAAGGAAGGAACTTCTTATCAGGCAGTTTATAAGTCTGTATAGCCAAAATGAAGCATTTTTTTAAATAAAAGGCAAGTCAAATTTGATGTCACTTTCTCTGATTTCTAATGTTCTCTTAGAATATTTAATATAAATCTGTATTACTGGTCTCATTGTTCAAAAAATATATTTTGCTGAAGTTCTTTTCCCCCTGCATTGCTAGGATTTGAATTTTGTCAGAATTCGATTAGTGAGACAGCTAGGG